CAAGACTCAGCCCCCTTTCCTTAATTTGGACCATCTCAGAAGGGCCACCCCAGCTCTAGAACTCCCGGTGGGATCAGCAAAAGCCTCTGTTGCAACGATGTTGCAGCTCAACTTCTCTATCTATCCCGCGTGTAGGCCCTCACTCCCCTGGAGGAGTTGATCCCAAGGGCGCTTTCCTGGTGGCCTCCTGCATGCAAATTTCTGACTCAGAGTCTGTTTCCCAGAGAACTGAACTTTCTTTGTAAAACACTTACTGTAAAGTTTCTTCTACCTTTTATAATTGGGCACATTAAAGTTGAGAGGATACTGTAACCAAACACGAAAAGGCCTACAAATGGTATTGAGCATTATTTTTCAGGGGATGGCAGAGACCAAATTCCCATCTGTCTCTTTTCCTCCAGGTTTCTCCTTTATGAGCCTTTTCTATTCACTGCATTTATTTGGGGGGCAGTGGGGAGCATTCTTCTTTGAATGTCACATAAAAATAGTTATGCAAGCACAGTGGAGAAGACATAAAATTAGATGTCTTTGTACTGCCTCTTTTACCTTGCAGGTGGATTAATAAATGCAAGTAATTATTTGCTGTTTTACCCGGAAAATGAAAAAAAAATTTTTTTTTGTTCTTTAGAAAAGACAAGGGGAGTCCAGTTCCCTCCCTGTGTTAATTTGGGTTCTCAAAGAGACAGACAGCATGACAGGGTTAGCCAAATAAAGGGATTTATTAGAAAGAATGTTTGAGAAGAATAAAAAGGAGGGGGCAGGAGTAGGCGAGAACAGTTTCAGACCACACCACCCAATGCATATCACTCAATCTTGCATGTAATATGTTTTGAATGTCTACTCTGTACTGGGAACCGTGTTTGACTGTAATGTGTCTGATATAAAGGGAGTAGAAAAAGGATGGATGAGGTAGGAAGAGTCTCAGACTGTGGGTCAGTCTGAGAAAGTCTTGGCCAAGCCGATGAGGCATCCTGGAGCCGGAATAGTTAGTGGAGGAGTCCCTCTTCTCAACAGTGGACCTGAACTAGAACCCCCGCCGAGCTCCACCATTGCTTCAGACACAGCTGGGGAGGGAGGGAGGAATATGGTTTAAAGAAGCAGCAGCTGGAGCCTTCACTCAATTCTGGGGCTCGCCAAAGCACACTCCCCCTCTCTGTTTCCCCACCCTGTTTGCCAACCAGCAAACCTCACTCTGCTCAGGAACCCCTCTTGAAGTCTCCCTGTCCAGCTATCCCCCTGCCCCTGCAGAGCTATTCCCTTTTCTCTCCCAGCCCAGAGCCTGGTATATTTACCTTCAATAAAGGACTTAGTAAATATTTACATATGTTTCTCCTATTTGAATGCAATGTCTTAAGAGCAGGTACCATGGTTTATTTATCCTTGTATTCCTGTCCCCCAGCACAGAGCTAAAAACAAAACATACTAATTAATACTCAATTGCCTAAAAGAATAAGAATTCAAATAGATGGAGCTAGAATTTGTGATTTTCAAGTCTTGGTTTTTAAATTGAGAATCTTAGCTACTTTGGTGGATCTCTGTGGGCAATAAACCTAACTGTTTTCATAGAAGAAAAAGTTCCAAACTGTGTGTCACTATAGATATTGATATATTGCTATTTTATATTTACATCAATGTTTATATAAGGGGAACATGAAAATTGGAACACATCTTAAAGAAATTAATTCTTTATCTTACAATAAGATCAATCTTTAAAAAGACATTTACATGATTTTACTTGAATTATTAAATCATAAAAGTCTTCTTAATCAAAATTCTCCTTGTTCTCTTTTCCAATACAGAGTGAAGTTCAGAATTTATGGAAAGAAAATTTGATTATTCTGGAAGCTGCAAAAAAATATGGCTATGAAGTGGTTGACACATTCACTATAACAATGGGGCGATACAAAGAGTTTTTGCAGGGGACGTGTGGATGTCATTTTCATGAGGTATTTATGCTGGCTCTCTGATTTTTGTAGCTTTTGATTTTTTAAAATTTCTCATTATATCTTTAATTACATTGTCAGTCTTATTTTGCCTTAAAGAAACCATGTCCGGAGGAGATTAAACAATGTGTCCATCTTCACTCAGCCAAAGCATGTGGCAGTCCCAACTCGAGGTTCTACAAAATGAAGTGTGTTAGAATAATTACTGTTTATGTAGACACCTGAAAACCAGAATCACTGGCCAACACAAGCAGGAAGATGGGAACCTGGAGAGCACTTGTCTTTTCTAATAGACTCCAAGCCTTCCCATCAGAAATTGTATCCAAAGAAGGTGGCAAATGTCTCAGTGGAGCTTGAAAATCAAGGCTAAATTGACGAATAAGCTTCCTCCACTGTTTTATCCAGTGCATTAACCAGAGGGCCTGTGGTGTTTGTTTGTTTGTTTTCCTTTGTTTGGTTTGGTTTTTTTGTTTGTTTGGTTGGGTTTTTTTTTTGGCTGCACCACGTGGCACCACGTGGCTTATGGGATCTTAGTTCCCAGACCAGGGATCGAACCTGGCCCCGGCCAAATTCTAACCACTGGACCACCAGGGAATTCCTGGAGGGCCTGTGTTTTGAATAGTTTTTTCCTTCCTAGTGGTGGAAATGATTTTATTTGTAGCCAGTAATTAAATAGTCTTAGCTGAGAAGGTGATAGCAGAAAATATTTTTTTTCCTTCCCCCCGCCCTGTCCTTTCAAACTCTGTGGATTATTTCCTCCCTACACTTGCATAAAATCTTGGTAAGTCCCAATATTTTAAAGCCACTTTCAGATAATAATAGGACTCCAATCACTTTCGGGCACAAGAAGACTCTCACTTCAGTACTAAAATTGCCCAGTCCTGTGTTATAACCACATGAAGTTATTTCCTTCCCCCAGCTCAGGCCTGCCTCAGTCTCAAAAGCCCAAAGTAAGAGAGAGGGTGCAGGAGGCTCCTTTCCTTTTTCCCCATCGTGCTTTGCTACTTTTCTCCCATCCCTTTCTTCATTGGGTCAGGTTAGGGAGATGTTAAGGGCAACAAAAGTCTGACCTGAGTGGCATAAGCATAACCCATCGATGTGTTTTCTGGGCATAACATGCTGATTCTTTCCTTTGAAGGTGCTCTTGTGGACTTTCTTGAAGACACTCCCACCGAGCCCTCTGATAATAGCTTCTTTGACAGAGGCAGTGTCTCCCTTACAGCTGCATTCCTTCCTTGCCGCCTTGGCTTCCAACTGTCCATCCCTCTGTTGGGGGTCACATTGCTTCTCCAGGCTTCCTCTTGGAAAATATTCAGCATAGCACCAGGCTCGCTATACTTAGTTGCCCACATTTGGTTCACAAGAAACACCCATGCATCCTTGCTCTGCTGTTGCTAGAAATACAGTGAGCTCCCAGTGCAGCCTGTCTCTTTTTTCTCTCTTTCTGTCTCTTGCTCTCTCACTCTCTCTGCCACCTTAAAGCTGATCTATAGCCATAGTGTCTCATACCAGTTCTAATGCTTCCAATCCCCAAAGGCCACATGTCCGCCTCTCAAAGTTGGTCTCTTGAAGTCCTGTCTCACTTGGCTTAAAGCTAGGCTGAAGCAACTGCCCAAGATGGAGGAAAACCATAAAGTATTGGGGAAATGTCCTTCACAGAAATTCTTTCTCTTCCTTATTCTCCTTTTCCCAACACCTAATCAGACAAGGGTTTGCTAAGCTGGATTTTGTCCATACTTTTGCATACATTGCCCATACATTGCTTTGGACTATGAGGTTACTTGGCTACTGTTGTTGGCTTTAGATGTCAGGAGCTGCAGCTGAAACTGCAATGGAGATTGTCTCGTTTGACCGTCCTGTCAGATACTGATCCAGTTTTTCTTTCTGGTGTGGCCCCCTTTGTAAACCAGAGTGCGGTCATGAGTGGGTTGACTAGTGAGGTGACAACTAAAGGTTTCTTCTGATCCTGTTTTTCAGTCCTAAGATGACTATCAGAATCCATCTCGATCCTCAGATTTTTATGAATATCCAAAAGTTATTGACACTGCATTGGTTCTTCTGTATGTTCTGCTAATGAATTCATGTTATATTTTTGTGTGGCGATGGAACTACATCTCAGAGAAGCGAGAGCCTCTCCACCAACAGCTGAGAGCATGGCATTTTAGCAACTTGAAGCTTGGCCACGCTGTCGCAGATCAGATTTTTAAGCTGTAGGATACTGTGTGTCTACTTACTTCTTCCATAAGGAAATATCCTTCCAATGCCTTTCATATTTGCAAAAGGTCAAGGCTTAGAAATACAAGAGCAGGTAGCTTGGAAGAGGAAGAAAATGAACTTGCAGCTGAGCCAACCTAGTGTCACCATAACCATTTTGGCTGTAAAAACAAGCTAAAGGTTGCCAAACCCACAGAAAATGGGGGCTTTGAAAGACAACATACACATGACAACATACAGAGTTTTTTTTGCCTCTTTTAGAAGAGGTTTACTTATTTACTTTTACATAATGTGTCTCCAGTTAATATTTTGGGGGAGGGTACCTGTTTTTCTTTTTTCAGCTTTAGTGCTCTGGAAGTCTAAAAAAGAGAAGTCCTCTACTGATTTCCCACATGGCTCCAATTAAAAACAAAATATGCGGGAATTCCCTGGCCGTCCAGTGGTTAGGACTCCGCTCTCTCACTGCTGAGGGCCCAGGTTCAATCCCTGGTCGGGGAACTAAACTCCCACAAGCCACACAGTGCGGCTAAAACAAAATAAAAAATAAAAACAGAAGATGCCCTTCCCACATGATTGTCACAGGATCAACTAGTTGACAGTAAAAGTCTTAGAATTTGAGAACTACAGTAAAGACTCTTTGAACCATCAGAACTAGAATATTGGCTTATAATTATTACTAATAAAAGCCATCCTTAATTTTCATAATCATGATTTAAGCATGTCAGGTAAAATTACTTCGCTTGTTTGATTTTATAATTTTTTGCATGCAATTATTATATACAAATTGTGTTTTATTAAACCCTATTTCTAATGTGTGCCACCTTGATGGAGAGCTATATAGGTATTGCCCAAATTATCTCTGTTGATTCTCGAGCAGTGTTATCCATTTTGATGTTTTCATGTTGGAGCTGAAATACTTCTAGAAGCATTCGCCTTTCCAGTTACAACATAGAACTGATAAGATCATCTTTCTCAACTGACTCCCTTTATCACAAAGTCTCTAAACCCATTCATCACTTGGGCATAATTGTTGCTTAACTCTTGAACAATTTGTACCACTTGTACCTCAGGAAGTTTCCAGTGCTGACACAGATGTTTTATAATCTTTCTAAACCATCACCCAACATCTTGAGTCACTGTTAGCTTATTATAAACAATCAAGAAAATCGAAAGCTTTTTGCAAAGGATGATTTGATGATGAATGTGGCAAGCCAAGAAACGTAGATTACTCGTCTCATACAAAACATTAAAGGCAGAAATTCATTAATAACAACCATTTCTTCCTCTGTGCTGGACTCAGGATCTGGGAAAGGAATTTGTCATACAGTAAAAGCAAGCATTAAGATCTACTGTATTAGAACAATAAGATTTTGGGTTTGGGAGCCTTATATCTTTTGGTGTTCAATTAAACCATTCCCACTATAGATTCGTAGATACCTGAGAAGGATTGCTGTAATCATCACAGTAAGATCTCTATGTGTTCTCTTTGATTTGTGGTGAGAATTCTATCCTAGACATAACAAACCTGCTCCAGTGGGCTCTTGCTGCCATAGGTGAAATTAAAGGTCTTGGGGTGTCTCTTTCATCTGTCAAGTCACCAAGAGAGGATATGTTGCCACCATGAATCTATAAACAATTTCCCAACTGGTATGCATCAATTTCGACTAAAATGTTCCTGCT